AATTATATGGTACAACTCCCCGTTTAGCAAAAATGTTGAAACTAAAATTGGAAATCGCTTTTTAGCTTTAATTGACCAACACTTTCCAGTAGGACACAGGCTTCATAAAATTTTTAATCGAAACTAAATTAAAGTTAGCTATAGTTGCATGCCTAATGTCAAGTCTTTAATAAATACACATAATAACAAAATTTTACATAGCGATAAAAACAAAACATTAAAAAAATGTAACTGCATAGACAAAAATATTTGTCCGTTAAATAACCAATGCCTTTTTAGCAACATCGTATACCAAGCCACTGTAAGTTCTGGTGATCCTCAATGCAAAGATAAAGTTTATTTCGGTATAAGTGAAACCACATTTAAATTAAGATATGCCAACCATCTTAAATCTTTCAATGCACCCAAATATAAAAATGACACTGAACTTTCCAAAGAAATATGGGAGCTAAAATCGAAACATATAAATCCTGTGATTACATGGAAGATAATAGCACAATGTAAGCCCTACAATCAAGCATCAAAAGTTTTTAATCTTTGTCTCCGCGAGAAGTTTCACATATTATCATATAAAGGAGAAAATTTACTTAATAAAAGATATGAAATAATATCAAAGTGCCGGCATTCAAAAAAATTTTTACTATCCTTATTCAATACCGGGGACAAAAACCTTTGACGTCTTTTTTTTTTGTTTTGTTTTGGTTTTTTTTTGGTAACGTCAGAACTCGTTCCACGGTAATTTTAATTTGTAATTTTTAAACGGTTTTTAAGTGACGAATTACACAATGGCTGATGATTGCCAAAAGAATAGTCATAAAAAGTATAGTCTGGAAACGCAGGCCGTTTTTGATTGTTTTCATTGTTTAAGTTGAAAATCGGGTGGTCTTTGTAAATAAGGTGCAAAACAAACTTTTATGATGGCTGAAAGTTCAAAAGATTTGAATATTTTTGAGACTATTTTTGAGTTGCATCAAGACGAGTGTGATTCTATTTTTAAAGTTATTGACCAGGATTTGTTAAATGACGTTGCTGAAGAACAACATGCCTCAGATATTCCACAAATAATACTTTCCAGTCAATTTTGTAACAAGAAATATTTGAGCTCTAGAGGTCTCACTCGTCACGTAAATAGTAAACATTCCGATGTTTTATCAAGTCATTCTAACCTTTCATCAGATATTAGAAAAACTAAAATATCAGAAGAAAATCTTGATCTTGAAGACTTTCAGATATATTTAGAAAGAAGTGTTGCAAAGCTTTCATCAGATAATTGTTTTGAGTCCATACAAAATCATTTTAAAGCTTATGTGATTAATTTTGATATAGCTAACACAGCATATCAGATTATAAAACCGATTTTATCTTTATTTCAAGGAAATGTTGAAAATTTTTATCCAGATTTTTACAAATGTATCTTTGACAAAATTGATTCAATTTTTATAGGATTAAGTACACAGTGTTCCACCTTACTTGGATTTGAAGTGTGTAATCATATATTGTCGCATCTTTCTGGTCAATAAGTTCAGAATGATACAATTTCATCTGGGAAGGGTTTTGAACTTTCAAATAGGGATCGATCTGTTATTGCCTATTTATGTGGGTATGTTTTTAGCACATTATATCGTCGCATCAGGTTTTCAGATATTTATAAGGAAGAATACTATCAACAGTATATATCTATTTTACTTGCTGCTAAATATCAGGGAAGTGATGATTTGCCTGAGCACAAACTTGTTAACACGCGTAACAGATCAAACTCGTGGAAAATGAAAATTGAGGCAATTTGTATTTTTATTACCGCTGAAACAACCTTTAAAAAAATGGTTAGTAAGTCTATCAATAAAATTGACAGCAAAGATATTCTATCCTTACTTCTTAAAGATACAAATATTTTATCTAATTTTTCAAGAATTAGAAGTGAAACTGATACTTTTGTTAATAAAGAAGTTTTTTTAAATGTTCTTAAAGACAACTTGAATTTGTATGTGAAAGCAAGGACATTTTCCTATGTCAAGGATAATCTACAGGCTTACAAAATTAAAGTTCAACAACTCAAGTCTAAGTCCCTGCGAACTTCACTAAAAAAGAAGAGTACTTATTAATATGTATATTAATAAGCATGTATATAATCAACAAAATTTCATATTTGACAATTGAAAACAATTATCTGATATTATCTCAATTTTTAAAACAGCTATTTTCATAGCTACAAATGGCTAAAAACATTTTTGTGGTATCAGAATATATATATATATTACTAGTTTTTTATTAAATTGTTTTCTTTTCATTAGAAAAAAGTTTTCTACAATCAATCCAATTAGTCAAATAAGGATTTTATATTGCAGAAAATTTTAATAAATGGGAGTTGAAATCAAAATATAACTATATAAAATTTACAGAGATTTTATTTTGTGGGGATTGGAAACTTTAAATTTTTTTTAGATAACATTTAGGGCCAAGATGGTTTTTATTACAATATTCCAAGTTTTTTCAGAAACTTTCCTATTTATTTTGAGCTTATTAAGTTTGCTAATTAAATTTTTTTATTTAATAAAATTAAGTTAAAAAATCAGTGTTTGTTATAATTTACTTGTTATCAACAAGAAAATCATATCTCACAACTAAAAAAACCATTTAGAGTAAACTAACCTTAAAATAAATATAAATGCACTAATGAAAATTTGCACCCACCCATTTATTAAGTCCTCTCCCTAGTTAGAAATTTTTAAACAGGAGCATTTATTTTGCACAAGATCAATATATATTTTTTGAGAGTATATGAAATAAGCAACTACAAGGGATGGTCAAGGTTTAAAATTATGCTGATCAATCATGTTTTGAAGTCAGAATGTTTTGAATTAAAATAGATTGTAAAAAATTTTACATGAGTATTGAATTTTAGTTCGAGAATCTTATGTAACACATAAGCATTAAAATTTTTTTCATCATTTTTTGAGCCCCTTTCCCCTTGTAATAAAGTTTAATCATTCAGTAAACTCACTCTAACTTCACTTATGACTCCAATACACTTATTTATATAAACATTTGTTTATACTTATGTCAAAAAAAGATGCTTTGCAAAAAATTGCGATGATTGGAGCCTGAGAACAAAAATGACCCAAAATTGTTTGCCCTCCTGCCCCAATCATTAGAGCAACAAGTTGGTAAAATATTTTTGTACATTTCTCAACTAGGTTTATATTCATTGATAAACTTTAAATGTCATATTGAAATATTTTAGCGTTCAAAAATTAAGACCTTACAAAGTTTGAACCTTTCTCAATTTAAGGAGGTTACAAATTTAATATGGTCATAATTTTTGAACATTAAAAGATTATATTATAAAACTTAAAATTTATTGATAAATATGTCTAGTTGAGAATAATACATAAAATATTTTATTTTTAAAAAATATTTTATATTTTTCTAAGGTTTGGGACAGGGTGGAGGAAAATTTTAGAGCTTTTTTGTTCCCAGGCTATAAGTATTTATACTTTTTGCAAAGTATCCTTAATTGACATAAGAATAAACATATAAATCTTTGGAGTTTGCTTAATGTCTGGAAGTTAGCTATCTCAAAGACTAAAAAATGCTACATCTCCCCTGATGTATATTAAAATTGTCTATATTTTATAAAAGCAGACAAGAAAATTCAATGTTTTCTTTCAAAAAAAATGCTTAGCAAGCGATCTTTTTTAACATAAATGCTTTGTTTTAACTAAAGATTTAAAGCACTATATAAATAAAACTGGGGCTATTATCTATTTACATTTTTTTAACTTTAGTTAATAATTATGAAATTTTAGCCTCAAATTGTCTACTACACTAATGTTGACATTCCGTTATCAGCAGGGTCGACACTAGCATATTAGACACTATTCAACCAATCTATTCAAGCGAGAAATTTTTTTATATAATTACAACCCAGTATAAAATATTTAAATTTATTTATCTTTTATTGCTCAAATCAATACATATTGGGTCATGAAGTATCTGTTCATTTAGCCAATAATGTGTTTTAACAATTTGTGGCTATGAAAATAGCCATTTTAAATAAGTGTATTATAGAGAAGTTTTTATTTGCTTTCTGCATGGTACTGGGTCTTCATTAATTTCAAAATGAACCTCTTCCTTGGAATTACCATCTTTTATAGGTCGGAAGACTTTTTGATTTCGAATGGTATTATCATTATAGCCAAAATCACAGACAGATGGATTATCTTTGCGATTTTTAATCCCTTCATAGGTTTGCCACGATATAAACATTTTACTTTTATCATTTAGAGTAAAGTTACCTTGACGTTTATTGATGGAATTTAACCACTTTTCGAAATATGGCAAAAATTCTGTTTTAAGCCAGTTAAAATGATAGTCGTCAATAGAAGAAAATGGGACTAAGAATGGCTTTGACATTTGAATTGATTCCATAGGATTACTAATATTCATAATATCAAAAAAACTGTCAATCATTGAGCAAAAGTTAGCTGTGGCAAAAGCATCTGAAGATCCATAGTTAAGAAGGACTTTACTCACAGTATTGCTAAGAACTTGAGCTGCCAATTTGACGTTCATAATAGAATAAGATGATAATTTTATGTGATCATATGATAATTTTGGAAGTAGATGTAAACCACATGTTTGGTCTTCTTTAAAAATGTCTGCTATGTGACTCCATAGAATGTATAAACCATTATTCCAAATGTATCTAGTACATTTTCCAGAACCAGAGCTATAAATACAGTTTCTTGTTGTCTTAAGAAGATGTGGGGTGTCAGATCTAAAGTAAATATACCTTTCAGGACAATATAAATTAATAGTTTTATATGTAACATCTACATCTTTTTTATCATTAAAATTAGATAAACGTGAATGCATTTTAAAAAATTTTCGGTTAGGAGCAGCACCATCGCAAGTTATTGCTATAACTTTTAACTTACATTCCAGTTCACATATAGCAACAGGTTTCCAAAATAATGGAAAAATTTGGGTGATATTTGATGATATTCCAAGTGTGGCAAAATTAGCTAGTGTAAACTTAAAAGGGTTAACTATACTGCGTATCATAAATACTAGAACATGAGTTGCAACTGCATCACCCTTTTGTAAAGTTGCATAGTTTAAATCAATATCACCAAGGTCAACAAATCCTATAATTTCTCCTGTGTGTTTATCCCATACAAGATTTTCTTGAATTTTAATTTCATCAAATAACAATACAATATATTTTTCTATTTCACTAAAATCTTTTACTTTTGATTTCAACTCTTTTACAATATCAGGATCAAAACCACGTTGAGGATGAATACAATTCTTGTAGTCACGAAGACGACGACGACTTGGTAATACAAGAAAACCAGTACCAGACTTTTTATCAAAGCGAATATCCTCATATGCGCTAGGAGACTTTGCACAAAGACTTAAGCAATACCGTATAATCATAGGATGATATCGAACAGATGTTGGATTTGATAATAAGTATTTTTGTTGCTCATTCCAAAAGAACTTCATAAATGGTGAAACATTATTTTTCAAAAGCATTTGACATTAGACTTTTCATATCATCATCAAGGTCAGAGGTTACTTGAAATGATTTTTTTTGAATTTCTTCTTGCATAATTTTTAATTCTTGTTTTAAAAAAGCATTTTCAGATTGATAGTTTTGCAAGGTAAGTTTAATTCTATCAGGTGAAGTTAATGAGATTGGGGCATTCAATTGAGCAGGTTTTGTGATTGTTTCAGCTTTACGTTTTACAGCCTTATGATGTTTATTATGTGACAATTCCAAAGTTTTACATTCATTACAAATATTACCAGATTTTATCAATAACAAACACAAAGTTGACCTGTTAAATTCAGTCTCAAAAGTAGTAATTGAAGAAACACTTGGGTTGTACAACTTTGTAAGAATATGTTTTTTAAAAATGTTTGAACCAGAGGCAACACCCTGACATAATGAGTAAGTTGATAAAAGAATAATAATATTCGATAAAGTAATGTTTTTAACTGATTTGTTATAATTAGAATATATCTCATGCTTTTCTGGTAAGTTCCAAGCAAAAGATCGTATTGTAAATAATAGGCTAGGTTGAATATATACTTCATATTGGGGTTGTAGGTGAATATTATCTAATTTGAAAACTTGGACTAAATCTTTTGATATAACAAGTTCCCATGATTCCAGCATAAGGGTGCTGATACAATCTACAAATTCTGAAAACGATTTATAAAAAGAATGTACATCATTTTGAACTTTGTCAATTTCGCAGCAATCCTTTTTCAACTCAATACTTAATGTTGGAAGTTTTGATATTGCTAGGAACTAAAAAAAGGAAAAAGAAAAAACTACTTTTAAATGAAAAATTAAAAAATATATCTTTTTAAAATTTTTACCAAGATGTTTGAACACTCCTTTTTGGTAAATTTTTTGAAGGTAAAGATCCTGGTATAAGTCTTGCTCTAGCTGAATCTATGAAAAAATGTTGTTTCAATATTTTTAAAACAATGAACTAATAGTAGACTTATTTAAAATAATATATATATATATATATATATATATATATATATATATATATATATATATATATATATATATATATATATATACACTTGAATATGTGAACACATAGCTTACTTCTATTAACTTCGTGATCTTCAAAATGCTTTTCGCATACATGTAAAGATTCGCTGGCAATTTGTTTTCTTAATGCTGAATCAATCAAACGATCTTTTGTGATAATCTCAATCAATTTTCTTCTCCATTCAACATTACAGTCATCCTGACCTTTAGGAAGACTGAATATAGCTATATCGTGTGAATAACGAGAAGTTGTACAACCATATATTGAACAATTTGCTCCAGGCATTGTACTTTTAGTTAAACTATAAAAAATAGTTTGTTTTGCACCTTAAAGTAGGCTGGGTACAAGAACCTAACATCAACGCAAAAACTATTGTTCCCAGGCCGTGTTTCCAGACTATTTATTCTTATGACTCTGCCGAAAGGCATGAAACTCAGAGTTCCATCAAAAGTTGTTTTTATTCATTTAATATATATATATATATATATATATATATATATATATATATATATATATATATATATATATATATATATATATATAAATAATTTTTTTTTTTTTTTTTTTTGTGATCGAAAATTTTGACTCAGAATAAAACTTATAGTTTCTTTGTGATTTGTGATTTATAAAGATGCTTTTTTTTTTTTAATTTTATTTTTAATCCAGATTATTATTTATGAAATTCTCTTCAATATATGAAAGACATAAAAAAAAAACAAATTTAAAGTATTTTATATTGAATGATGCAAAATTATGTTAAAAGATATCTACAAAAATCTTGTTCATAAGTTTAGACTCATGATTTTTCACTTTAAACTGTAAGTCAAGTTAATAAGGTATGTGACCGCCTTTGCCAGCTATGCTAAGTCTACATCTTCTTTTATTAGATTCAAAAAGATTTCAACAATATTCAAAGGTCAAGCTATCAAATATTTCTTTCAAACTTTTTTGTAGTTCTTCAGCTGAAGTTACAGGAGCTTTGGTTTGTTTTCGATCAAGCACAGACCATACATTTTCGATTGGATTTAAATCTGGCGATCTAGCTAGCCACTGGAGTAAATTGATTTTATTTTCTTTAAACCAAGCTGTTACTGTTTTTGCTTTGTGACAAGGGGCGTTATTTTGCTGAAACTTCCATTCTGGCTCATCTCCAATAAATAAGGCTCTTGTTGGAATCAAATGATTTTCAAGCGTCTCAATGTATCTGTATTGGTCCATTCTACCAGTGTACAAGTAGCATAGTACGGGTCCATCATACGTGATAAAACCCCAGATCCCAACTAAACCTCCTCCGCCCTGTAACTAAGGTACAATGAAACGATTATGAAATTTCTTATTATGGTATTTTTGAACAGTTTCTCTATTTTTTCGATTAACGACTGTATAATTCGATTCATCGCTGAATAAAATTTTTTGTATATCACTATCACTCATCTTAAGAATTTTCTTGCAAAATTGTAGCCGTTTGAGTTGATCTGATCTTTTAAGCATTGATTTTCTAGCAGCAGTATACAAGCATAGTTTACGATTAATTAATCTTCTATTTACCTTCTGTCTTGAGATGTCATTTTTAAGAGCTAGATTTATTTCTTGAGCAATTTGTTTGGCACTATACTTATATTTTTTCTGCCAATTTTGTATATACTATGATCATCAGTGGTAGTTGTTTTTCTAATGTGTTACCTGTTTTTTTCCACTTAGCTATTGTTTTAGTGACACATGACTGCGATACGTTCTTGAGAATCAACTGAACTTTTCTTGTAGAATTACCAGCAAAGTGGAAGGTGATAATTCTTTCTTTAATTTTTTTTGAGACTCATGTGTTACCCATTTTAAAATATTTTAAATGCAAATAATGAGTAAAAATTGTATATTTTGATTAGCGTGTACTAAGTAAATAATTTAATTTTTAAATGGATTTAAACATAATATTTTAGAAAATATATTTCGATCCATGTTAGAATTACAATCTTTAAAAGAAATAAAGATAGAAAAAAGTGAATCTAAATTTATAAGACACATTATATTTGTTTTTAAATAGCGCTATTATTAAAAAATAAAAAAAAAAGACCAATATATACCAATAAAAGGTGTACATCAAAAAAGATGACTAATATATACCAATAAAAGGTGTGTGTTTTTTGTAATAATGTTGGAAACAAATTAAGGGATCGTCCATAAAGTTCGTACGCTTTCTTTTTGTCCACCCCTCCCCCCTCTTTAACATTTTGCAATACACTTTTTTGAGTATCCTCCACTTTCCTAAAGGTACCTAAGCTTTTAACCTATTTTTCTAACATTTTATGATATTTTTTTAAATTTAGTTTTTCCTTTCTTTTGACCCACTGCCCTCCGATCTCATATACGCCATTTGCAGACCCCCTCATTTTCCCCGAGCATACGTACTTAATGAACGATCCCTAACTAAGTTAAATTAAAAAAAAAAAAAAATTTCAAGCATCTTAATAAATTTTTTTTGGCATTTTAAGAGCTAAGCTTAAGAAATTTTTTTTCTGAGTCTAAATTTTTGATCACTCGTGTATTTTTACTTATATAAGTAATACATAAGTAACTGAGTTTTCTAACAGTAAACTAGCAAATTAAAGTATTTATTTGTGACTTATTTGACAATACTTGTATTATACATTCTATTATAATTCTATCATAAGCATATATATTCTTTGCGGTAGGTGGTCATCTTATCTTGGAGAAAAAAAATTCAGATATAAAACCACCACTTTAATGTGGTATGGGGCAATGATTAATTTATTTGCAAATATGTTTTATTTTTCATTTATTATTTTAGTGTGCATTCTAAAACAACAGTTTATGTAACTCAACACTTCGTTGGTTGGTCATTTTTAACTATTTTGTGGACAGTCACCTTGACACCTGATGAGTTAGTGTATGAACGATATATATAACATAATAAAGGGTGATCCCAGGTACGTCTTTTTATAATAATCATAATCTCAATAGTTTTTAGTATTATGAAAAACGTTATTTCTTACAAAATATGCAAAAAATATTTTTTGTTACTCAAAATCAGGTGTCGATCTAGTTTTTATAAATTAGGATAAAATATAAGCATTTTGTCGATTAAATATTTTGGAAATATTAGGATAACGTTAAGTTTAGAAACAATTTGATACAGAAAAACACTATTTTCTGATGGTTGATTCTGACAAATTTTAAACATTTTGTTGTCGTTAAAACCTTGAAGCTGGTTAATTAGCTTCAGGGTTTATAGAAAGATATTATTTATGATGATTCTTTAATAATCGATAACTATTTAAGATTTTACTTGCTCATTTTTAGCATCACTTGGTGTTGTGTATTTGGTGTCGTATGGGAGAAAATATCCGCTGATACGTTAGAGAATATTTAATGCGTGCTCCTCGTGGATTGGCTGCAGATCTATGACTGGATATTTTACTTATTCCTTAACGAAGATATTTGGAAAATAAAAAATGTTAATGTCAAGAACTCATTTACTGACTATAATGAAACCATGTGATTTGTTTATTAGGTACCTATAATATAAAAGATTTCCTCAACCTTGAATTTTGCATTTTTTCTGTAAACAAATCTAAACTCGTTATTGTAAAAAGCATAATTATCGCAATAAAGAACTATTTGTTATCAAATAATGACTTTGACGACACGCTGTTTGCACGTTTCAGAGGGTCGTAGAAAATACAGCAATATGCCACCTCCTTAAGGGCATGTCCCTATGAAATGTCCAAAAGTCGTGACTTATGGACGTGCTATTAACGTTACTTTTAGTACGTGATATTTAGATGACTTTTTGGTATTTATAAAATGAACAATTTTGTTCATTTCATAGTGACCAAAAAAGTCACTTAAATATCACGTACAAAAAGTAACGTAAAAAGCACGATCTAGAAGTCACGTTTTTTAAAAATCACGTTTATTGGCTATTTCATGGAAAACAAAAAGTCATCTAAATGTCACGTGCCAAAAGTAACGTGAAATGCACGTTTTTATCACGCCGCTGTGCCCGCTGGGATGTCCAACCATGGAAGTATAAAGCAGATGGAAGTTCATCGAGCCGCAAACATCAAAGCAATTTCAAGTCGTCTCGGAATTATGCTTGTAACCGACAATAAAAAAAAACAAGTTTCACTGGACAAAAAAAATAATAAAATTCACTGAAATGATTTTTATTAAAATATCAAAAAATAAATTATTTTAGGGAAAGTGAATGAATTGTTCTAGGGAAAAAAAGAATTATTCTAGCGGCAAAGTTTTAACCATTAGTAATTGCAATTATTCAGCAAAAGGTTTATTAAAACTCGGTAATTAAATAGAACTGCTTGATTTTAAATGGATACTTTAGTTTAAGCTTCTTTTCTAGCTTTGAGTCATAAAACGACATTTGATTAAAAAGATAATTGAAACAATTTTTAAAAAAATCAAAACAATTGTTTTCTAAATAACTAAAATTAAAGCTTCATAAGTTGTATATCATAATTCCATTCATTTTCGTAGTACTCTATTTATTTAATATGAAGTTCATAAAAAAGTTTTTGTTTGCCGTTACGTTGCGCCATTTTTAATGTTTTTCTTGAAAATTATTAGCTAGCCTCCGAAATACTATAATTTTAAATTATTATAAACCTATCTATTTGCGTCAACGTATAAAGATTAGGCGTTTAAGTATAGTCATAATGTTGTTTCCTTATTGTTTACGAAACAAAAGGTTACAAACATAGTCCCGAAGAACTTCAATGTGGTTGAACTTCCATCTGTTTTATACTTCCATGGTCCAACTTACCTACATTTTTGGCCCGATTTATTTTATTTTATTTATTCAAAACACATATTTACGCTTAAGGATGTTAGAAAACAATATAAAACAACACTTTACAACTTAAAAATAATTTTGAACTCAAATAAAAAAAAAAAAACTATATATACATAACAGATTCGATCAGGGGATCAATGAAACTTTGTGGAATCGCGGCCTAGGCCTTTTGGATTTGTTCAAACAGTTGATCCTTATTACGAACACCTCTACAAATAATTCTGCGGTTGACGATCTCCCACAGGTTCTCGATAGGGTTAAGATCCGGTGAATGAGGCGGCCAATCAATCACCGATAGGTGGTTGTCTTGAAACCACTGCTTGACTACTTTTGCAGTGTGTTTTGGATAGTTATCTTGCTGAAAAACCCTTTTTATTGGCATATTTCATTCAGCATGAGGTAACATAACACCTTTCACGATATTTTTATACATGAAACAGTCATTGATTCGATATATTGGACCTAGACCGTT